TGTCCATTGCATATGGAGCTGGAAGAGTCATTGTTGACAATTCTCCTAGCATAGTGCTAAGAATGGACTAGATCAAAATGGCTCAATTAAATTCTAGTGCTTCTTCTATTAATGAAGTTTTTAGAAAAAATATATTAAACGACGCAACGCACCTTGGGTCGCTATGGAAACAACCTCCTTGTATAATTATAAGGGTAAAGTCTGCGTACAATTGATCCCCCAAACCCCAACCCAGACCCCAACCTGTTGGGAATATACTGGGTATGTTGATGTTGATGGTATTCACAAAAATGCAGAGTATAAATAATCAGTTTCATGAACAGATACCAAGTAATAGAAGCTTCTGGATATGCTTCTCGGCCTTTGTTTGTTGTTCAATTTGCCTATCTATTTCCTCATTCTGCTATCACAATTCGATTGAATAACTGCCAGCAAAAACACTGATAGAAACAGAATAATGAACCATAAGATTAATAACTTTCGGGAAAAAAAATACCTGCTCATTCTCCTCAAGATCAGCTCTGCTATGTCGCTGTTTACTGCAGAGTAAGCCCATGTTATCTACCAGCGTGCACAATATAAACACCATAAGCACTACCCTTGGATCAATCACGAATCCATTAGACCAATCTTCCGGTCAATGCCGAAAAATTCCGTAGCCCTATCGCAATCTATCCCCGGCGGCCAGAAGAATTCAAGCCACGAGTTTACTGAGGAAGCTCGGGAAGATCACTATGAACTTACTCAGCTAACTTTTTGCTATCTTCACAAGCTAAGCTGAAAACAAGACCTCAGCTATGGAGGTTGGCGAGAAAGTGTGGTTGGGACGATCTGACAGTCAGCTGGAGGAGCTGGATCTGAGGTGCACTTAACTGATTGTGGTGGTGAGCCGGAGTCTGGATGAACTCGGCGACACCTAGGCGCATTGGTTAAATAATACTCTCTCCTATTTTTATTATTTGTCGTTTTGAGAAATAATTTTTGTTATTTGTGGTTTTGAGAATAACATGTTAATTAAGAAACTTTTTTCTTGTCAATATTAATCCTATTCAATGGATGCTATGGAAAACAATGAAGATGGGATATAAAGAGACTGCATATTAAATGAAGGGTTAAAAACGAAAAAATATGAACAAAATAGTCAAAATGACATTTATTTAATCAATTATCAATTAAGTCAGGATGACAAATATTAAAAATAGGAGGGAGTATAGGTTTTATTTGCTACTAGTAGATATCTTGTGCACATGTACAAAAGTACATAAAATATTATAAATAATATTTGAAAATTTAATATTAAAATTCTAGATAATTATCATATTACATTTTCAAAAATTTG